AGATAATAGGAAGAGCAGACACCTCTATCATTTAAAAAGGGCGAAGTAATACAGCCTTAATTTCAGAAGGAAAGTTTTGTAATTTTCAGTTTTAATGCATGTCTTTTAAAAAAAATCATAGTAAAGGAAGTAAATTTGACTAAATGAGTCTCACCTTGGAGATCAGAAATAAAGGTTCAATTAGAAATAAAGTTGAACTTCGTTTTAAGAAATGACAGTGAACAGCTTAAGATTTAAAAGATTCTTAAATTTTTAAAGTTAGATCATGTTTATTGAAGAATCAGACTGAGTAGGTGCCCATTTTCTTTTACTAAAAGGAATCAAGAAAACACAGAATTCATTTTTTTTGGCTGTTTTTTCACAAGTATAACTTTCTCTTTAAAATTAAGGTGATAATGACAATGTAATTTAGGACTTTGATTATTTTAAATGAATTAAATCTCTGAAATATGGAGCAAACTTTTACAAGACTTATTTTTCTCCATTTCTTTAATCAGTAACTTAGATGATAACTTTAAGATATTAAAAAACACTATAAAACTGAGTTTAGCTGGGCGTGGTGGCGCACACCTTTAATACCAGCACTTGGGAGGCAGAGGCAGGGGGATATTTGTGAGTTCAAGGCCAGCCTGGTCTACATAGTGAGTTCCAGGACAGCTGGGGCTACAGGGAGACCCTGTCTCAAAAAGACAAAAAACAAAAAAACAAAAAAAAACTGAGTTTATCAGTAACATTGGATTCAGGGGAACTTTGCACTTTGTAACTCAAGAAAATCGCTTTTGAGGTGTGTTTTTGTCATTTGTTGTTTTGTTTTTGGCACTGGTCCAGAGTATGGACACTGTATATTGTTTCTTGTGGGCATTGTTAGCCTTTCAGAATTGCATCTGCACATGAAAAATAATGGATTTAAAATCTTTAGTTGCTCTCTGACTTTTAATCCACTGTTATTGCCAATTTACTGTATGTTGAGCCTAAAATCTGAGCCCATGTCCTCTAACAGGCATGAAATCTTTTGTCCTTCTGCCAGAAAACTTAGAAAGTACTGTATTTTATATGTTTGTTATGTTAAAATATCTAAAATGCAATTTATAATACTGTTTCAAAGCACTTTACAAAAGATAATATTTGTATAGTTTATACATTTTTTTCTTCCCAATTTTCCCATCTCCTTCCCCACACACACAAAAGAATTCCTGAAAACGTGTTTGGAGTTGGTTGGTTGGTTGGTTTGCTTGTTTGTTTTAGGGACAAAGCCTCCCCATATTGCCCATATTGGCCTTGACACTCTGGGCTCAAGCAGTCCTCCCACCTCTGCCTCCCCAGTAGCTGGGACTACAGGTTCTTACTGTCATGCCTGGCTGTATTTCACTCTCTGTAGTCAGGAACATGGGCATGAGAAGAAAACCTCACAACCTCGATGGTAACCATCTTTTGACTGGTCTGTCTGTTCAGTATAAAGAAAACATGTCTTTGTCTCTGCACGTATTCATGTGGGAACTTTAGGGAGCAACTGTGGACACCCTTTATCTTCTTCCTGTGCTACCAGTTTTTCAGATCTTTCCCCTCACAGACTGCTAGAGTGAAACCCTTAAATTAACTCTTATTTGGAAGGACACCTTTAAGAGGAAAATACTTTTTCCAAAATACAAGATTTTATCTTTTAAATGATTTCTTTTTTAGAAATGTTCTTACATTATTCAACATTACTAGTTTGATTTATTAACTTAGGGGCTGGAAAGATGGCTCAGTGGTTAAGAGCACTGGTTGCTCTTGCAGAGGGCTGAAGTTCGATTCCCAGCACCCACATAGTGGCTAACAACTGTCTGTAATTCCAGTTCCAGAGGATCCAACGCAGTCTTCTGCTCTCTGCGGGCATTGCATGACACAGGTGCACTTACACACATGCAGGCAATACACTTATACACATAGAATAAAAATAATAAATAAAATTTTTTAAATAAAAAAATTAATGTAGAAGACTCTCTCTCTCTCTCTCTCTCTATATATATATATATATATATACTATATTTCTGTTTAGCTTACTAACAAATTGCTATACCAAACTTAATGCCAAGAAACCTATGCTTACAATTTTAAGACAAAAGGCTAATGACAAATACTTCTTGAAATTTGTGCTAATTATTTTTGCACTTCTGAGTAGAATTACTAATCTTTTGTTTTTAAGTTTCTTTTTTAGTTTAAACATCATGAAACCCATAGTGACTTTTCTACCCCTGCCTTTACTCACTAACTATATGGTAAATGCTGCATTTTGGCTTGGAATTTTTTATGATATGTCCCATAAGATTAACTTTAAAATGTCAGTCTGAACTTGGAAGGCAGAGGCAGGGGAATCTCTGTGAGTTCAAGATCAACCTAGTCTACATAGCAAGTTCTAGGCCAGCCCAGGGCTCTCTAGTGAGACCGTCTCAAAAAGAAAAAAGAAAAACACGTCAATCTGAGAAACTGGTATAATTGACTTCCAAAGTTGGGAGTTTAATGTATATTCTTGATGGCGAATGTCTTTGTGTAAAGTGCATGTTGCAAGTTGCTGGATTACAGTGTCAAGACACTGGCATGACAACAATACATTAGGTTCTGTAGCTGCTATATTTATTTAAATAGAATCTGATGGTTACCGTACTAAACTATGAGGAGATGGGCAAGAGTCAAGGGTAGTGTTAGGCGCATTTAGGTTTTTTAGATAATTTTAGGGACATGAAATATCAAAGAAACAAAGGCTGCTTCAATCTTAGTTTCAGTATCAGGATATCCTTTGTTTAGAAAAGTTGGGTTTGTTGGGATTTTTTTTTGTTTTTCACTTTGACAGTTGTAAAAAAGGTACTGAGTTTGGGCATATTTTCACAGAAAAGTGGATGACCTTTCATTTTCTTAATAATTACCCTTTACTGCTGGGCGTGGTGGTGCACGCCTTTAATCCCAGCACTCGGGAGGCAGAGGCAGGCAAATCTCTGTGAGTTCAAGACCAACATGGTCTCCATCGTGAACCCAGGACAGCTGGGGCTACAGGGAGACCCTGTCTCAAAAAGACCAAATAAATAAATAAATAAATAAATAAATAAATAAATAAATAAATAATTACCCTTTACCAAGTTTCCCAGAAAAAGAAAGTCTGGAAATAATCTCTGTTTACAAACTATTAATTGATTTTTCTTCCTGAAAGAGAATCTAGAAGAGATTACAGTAGGAATGTTCTGGGTGTTTTGGAAGGCAATTGATAAAGACTAGTCTCTACCTTCTAGTAGACCCATACTCATTTCCCAGGCAGGGTTCTCTATGATCCACCACAGCCTAATGCTGACTTGTATATTGTCCAGTTGATTTTAGGATGACAGATTTAAGGTTTGTCTTGAGAAATAATCCCGGCACTCAGGAGGCAGAGGCAGGCGGATCTCTGTGAGTTCAAGGCCAGCCTGGTCAAATATCAAGTCCCAGGCCAGCTGAGATTACAAGGAGACCCTGTCTCAAGAAGAAAGAAAGAAAGAAAGGAAGGAAGGAAGGAAGGAAGGAAGGAAGGAAGGAAGGAAGGAAGGAAGGAAGGAAGGAGGAAAGAAAAAGAAGAGACCCTGACTCAAAAATAAAAAAAAAGAGAAAGAAAGAAAGAAAAAGAAAGAAAGAAAAGAAAGAAAGGAAGGAAGGAAGAAAGAAGGAAAGAAAGAAGAAACCAAGCTGCCATTTGAGTAGGAATAGCTGGAAAGACCTCAGTGTAAGCACTTGGAGTCCAGCAATAGACCTGAAGCCCATAGAGGCTGTTATCCAAGACATGTGGTGGGTCTCTTCAGAAGCTTAATGTTTATGAAATTCAAGGAGCTAGCCACTTGGACACTAGTAGACTATGTTGTTCTCTTTCTGTTTCAAACATTGATAGTGATGTTTTATCAAGAAGTTTAACTGACATCTTTGCATAATTTTCACTTAATGACGTTAAACCTGCGTTATATGTTCCATTAAGCAGAATACAATAGCACATCCCTACAATCCCACCTCTTGGGAGGGGGAGTCAGGAGGATCAGGAGTTCAAAGCCAGCAACAACTACATGTGACCTTGTAAAAAGTTTGTTTAACTCACCTTCTTATATATTCCCCTGTTGCAAAGAAAGGCTACCTTTAACAGTTTCTTGTACTTTTTACTTACCGTTTATGAGTTAGGTGAGTTTGTCAAACTGCAAACTCCATTCATTCATTCAACATTTTTGTTTCAGCTGTTTTATCCGCATGAAGTATTGGCCCTTTTCATCCTTATTGAGAATTTGTGGATATTTTCAAAACTTTAATAACAATAGTTGGGGAACTTTACATCAAGTGGGGACCTTCCTGAGTGATACTACAACTCTGACTTAGAATGTCTTTGTTTCCCTGTTTCCTTTCCATTTAATCATATAAGCACTTGTGATATTTTATAAGAGTCAAAAGATAAGCCAAGAATAGGTATGTAAAAGTCTACAGAGAGGGCTGAAGAGATGGCTTAGCAGGTAAGGGTACTCACCACCAAGCCTGACAACCTGAGTTCAGTCC